GGCCTCCCTCTCCGAACAAGGAGAGCGATACCTATTTCATAAGGTTGTTGAGAGGATTAAATGATATCATCCCTTAAAGCCTCATCCTAGTGAGTGATAAGTACACAACGAAGAATTAGTAGCTGCGGGTAAGGAACCATAACCAACAGCCTTTTTTAAAGCAGTGGTTCTCAACCTTGGCCAAAAAATGGAACTCTCTGATCCCCCTTACCCTGCCCCTCCTGCAGAGATTTACAAAATCCTGATGTCTGGTGCCACCCACGAGGTCCTTATTTATTTGGTCTAGGGTGCAGGCAGGACATGGGAATTTTTTTTAAGCTCTCCTGACAATTCTGATGTGTAGTCAGGGTTGAAAACGTTGCCTTAAAGACATCTACAGAGTAAGTTCTTCGTCAGAAGGGCCTGCCAAGAGTAGATTTTGGAATGACAGCTACTTCTCTTTGAAAGATACCGTGTCTGCTTGGTGATTAGGCGTCTGTGGGTAGATAATACTTCCCTACGCTCACAAGCAGAAGAATGGATTTTCCTATGGGGCTTTTTTTGCCCCTCTCCCCTTATTCTTCATCCTCTCTCTCACACACACTTTACATCAAACCTTAAAGAAGAGTTCAGAAATCAAGCATGTTCATCAACAAGGTATGTCTATGTCATTTAAAGCAAAGTAAGAAACAGTTCGTGTCCAATGATGCAGTGTCTAACTCTCAAGTTTGAGGCTGGCAGGTTATAAAATGCTGGTCAATTAACTGTTAATTGGAACAAGATGCAGAATTCACAAGGGTCATGACTGGCTGAACCTAGAAAATGGCTTCAGTCAGGATGTCAGCAGTGGATCACAGATTGACTTAATGTACCTCCCTGCAGGGGAGGTGCCGTTTTATCTTGTATGTCCTGGCTTTTCAAGAGCTATTACCACACGGGTGTTTTCCTCCAAAGCGCTCAGTGCCACTGCTGGCTCTCAGATCGTTTATAATAATGCTCCTCATGATAACTAGGTCTTGAGTTAGCTCAAACAATTAAACAGTAAACATTTTATATTGGCAGCTTTGCAAACAGCAAGACATCGTGGTTCTAAAATAAAATAACTCTCTCTTAGGTGTCTATTAATTATGAGATTTGGAAAATACCAACAAGTGTCAAACTACAGTCAAATAATTCTCCAGTTATGTTTGTTAAGGGTGTCAAGGGTGTTAAGGGTGTCATGCTTTTTTCTGCGTGTGGTGTCCCATGTGGTTGGAGATAAATATATTTAAAATGCCAGTTTACGGCTTTGAGAAATCACGGGGGTGCCCACATACCACACGACTCATCAGAGGTAGTTATTTGATATGAGCTGGAAAATGATGGAGAATTATTTTTATCTACTAAGAAACTGACCCAAGGGCTTTTGGTGGGTGTTTGATCTCTTAACCAAAGGGAAAACCAATATGGTTTCATTCTCCCTCTCTGAAATACCCTTTTAAGAAGACATCAAGTTGCTAACATCCCTGGGGAGGCTAACTGACAAACTGGATGGAGCCCGGCTAGTAAACCACGCAGGACATTCTGTCATCAAACAAAACTGGAGTGTAGAAGGCACGTTTCAAAAAAAAGAAACACACATAAGAAAGGACCCAGGTTAAAATTCAACATAGAATTTTACATAAATTCCGAAATTATGTGACACAAGCATATTTACTAAGTGTCACTTTATGGACCTAATTTGAAAAAAATGAAAATCCTATTGTACATTCACTTCTACGGGGAAATTAGGTTTAGATTAGGCAAGTGCTGAATTATACAAGGGCGTCAGAAAAGTCAGTCTTGAAAAACAGGTAACTGTGGAGAATAGATGGGGAGGCGGGTCATGGTCCGGGTGATAAATACCGCCACCAAAAGGGAGAACAAGAAGAGGTTTTTAACTTTACTATTTGGGAGTTTTGTGGGGGTTTTTTGTTTGTTTTTATAACTGAGGCTTATTCCTTTCATGCCCAAATGTTTTCATTTTGAAAAATTGCCTGAAAACATTGTAAAACTTTAATGTCTCCTGGGGGCTTGCTTCTGTATTCAACGGTTCCACCCAGGGGGCTTTGCTTTTCTAGTAGTAGCTGATTCTGAATTGTACTCTTATTCTTTCCTTGATTACAAACTGTCATTTCTCACTCTGGTCAATTCCCTCCTTCTATCCTAGAGCCCTCCGTTCTGCCCATATTCCTTATTTTAACCAGATATAAACTGGATTGCAGGTAACTAAGGTTTTCAAATTGCAAGCATTAAATAAAAGCCAGGCTCTGAGTTAAGGCTTGACCAAGGGCCTGATGCAGCAGCAAGCTTCTGGGAAAGGTGTTTCAGCGGCTCAGAGGCTGACTCTGTGGGAGCTGGGGTGGACCTTTGTTCCAGATGGAGACTCTGAGCTGGAAGCCTGACCTTCACCCCCATGTGTGACACTCAGGTATTCAACACGTGTGCTACACAGGCGATGCGTCTGACCAATAGAGAGGCAGCCTGGTCTGGTGGGGACGCGAGTGTTGGGTCTGGCCTGGGGCTTGACTCCCACTTAGGACCTATGTGATGGGCACCAGCCACGGAACCCAGGGCTACTTCTGTTGCATCCACCTGGTGAAGAAAATAACTGGACCCACAGAGTTGTCATGAATGCTTTTTTTTCTGAGTATATCTCTAAAAGTGCTTGAAGGGGGCCTGGTACATGGCAAATGCTATATTAGTGTAAGTAAAACAATAAGATAAATCTTACTTAGGTGGCTACTCTCATTCAAAGAGGAAATATAGGGATCTGCTTTTGCCCTTTCTTCCAAGAGCAAAGCCAATAAGTCAATGTCTCTCATTTGCTTGTTTATGGGAAAAAAACCCCAAACCCAACCAAACACCTGTACACTCCTCTGGGCAAAGCACCGTGCTGGGTGGTACAGCTGTTGATTTCAGCAGTACAATTTCTGCTCTCAGTAATACTTGCTATCACTGTGAAAAGTTTATTCTCTTTGAAAATCTTCCATGTCATTTTTTTTTTTTTTGCAGGCCTCTCGCTGCTGTGGCCTCTCCCACCGCGGATCACAGGCCCTGGACACGCAGGCCCAGCGGCCATGGCCCACGGGCCCAGCTGCTCCGCGGCACGTGGGATCCTCCTGGACCAGGGCACGAACCCGTGTTCCCTGCATCGGCAGGCGGACTCCCAACCACTGCGCCACCAGGGAAGCCCCTTCCATGTCATTTTGACACAGGTAAAAACTTTTAGAGACAACCCGAAATTTGAGTACTCTATCAATGACCTTAACACATAAGAGTCTTTGAACGGTTTATAGATATTCCTAAGCAACTTACTTGATTCATTCTCATTTTAGCTGACGTTTCACATTAGAGTGCAGGGTGTTAGTCTTTAAAAAGTTTAAATGTAGATTTTTTTTAATTAGAAAAGAAATATGTGCTTGTCACGGAAAATCTAAACACTCAGGTGAACATATGGAAAAAAAATTTCATGTTCTCATCACCCAGGCCCATCACAGTTAGGCTTTTAGAGATTTCCTTGGTTATTTTACCACGTACTGTACGTATCTGCCTACACTGGATCATTTGTTATATATACATTTGTATATACAGATTAAAGTTCTGGGGGTAGATTTTTCTGATACCCACTCATGTTAGAAATTTTTAAAATATAGGATAGTGAAAAGAGTACTAAAATTGCCTCTGCCTGGATGCAAAGATGCTTTCCCCTCGTCTACCTCACTCAGCTAGGTGCTTCTAATTTGAGCCTGTGTCTGCTGCAGTATTTGTGAAAGAGGGAAAATTAGCCCGTGGCCTTAGCCTCTAGTAGGGACGGATTCTGGTCCAAAGAAGGTGAGTTCCACTGGGTGCCTGGATGGGACCCCAGACATTGGGCCTGTCCCATGAAACCTGGTGGGTAAGCGCCACCGGAAGTTCTCCTGGCCCAATTTCTCCTGGATTTCTCTAATCACAGAAGGACAGTAGCTGAACTGGAACCAGAATCCCAAATACTGTCTTCCAGAACTATACCTTTGTCATTTGGCCTCCTTAGAGAGCCTGGCACACGGGGTTCTTTAAGAAATAAAAATCTGTTGCATGACAAAAAACCACCTGGAATCTCACCAACCAGAGATAAAACTGCTGCTAACATCATGTTTCTAAGGAAAAGAAATTGATTATGCACCACAAGTTCTGATTTTCAGCATTGTTACCTGGGCACAGCCTGGGATTGATGACAGATTATCCTAAGGCTTTTATGAGCCACCAACCTTTCCATAAAAAAGAAACAAACCAACCCCTGATGAATCAGGCCGTTCAATATGTGTTTTGAAAGATATTTTAAAATGTTGGTGAGGGTTTTTTTTTCCTAATTATTATTTTGGTAGATTATTTTAATACTCACTCCATATTTTCCCCATGATTAATTAATGAGGAATCTAAACATTGCCAAAGTTTCTGTCTTACAATAAAGAATAAAAAAGGCAGCGGGGGATGAGGCAGGGAAGACGAACTTTAAATGTTTCTTGGTTAAACACACTAGAAGCAGAAAACGGTGGGCACCAGCACATGGTCTAACGTCAGGAGGGGTCCCTTTGGCTCCCTAAGTGCCAGAGGAGGGAAGCGGGCAGCAGGCGGCTGAGCAGCCCTTCCCACGCTGACTCGGTGTGCCTACATCCCATTGTTCGCTTGCACCTGGCAAAGTTCTCCGCCAACACTGTGGCTTCCAGAACTCAGAGGGAGGGAGGGTCAGTTCGACCCTCACCTGATCCTAAACCCGTCCACTTGAGAAGCCTGCTGTACCCCGCCCAAGCGAAGGAGGGTTAACACTGAGAAAATACTCTCTGAAGGCTTTTGTGAAATTCTGTAAGATTTCTTTGCACTTCACTGTGGTGTGTGGTTGGAAAGTTTCTCTAGTGTGTGATACAGATTTTGAAAGTTGATGATAAACATCTCAAATGGTCTTGAATTTAGCCACACTAGCTATCACTGAAGCCCAGATACCTTTAGAGTTAATCATTTACCTGAAAGGGGATCTCCAGTACTGTCTGGAAAGCCATTTTCTTCTCCCTTAAAAAACAAAAAGCAATCTTCGTTAAAACCATACCCATACATGATTGGAGATGCTATCAATTTTCCAATTTAGTTAAATTTCCACCAAAAACTGTGGGTGGGGGAAGGAGAATGGATCTTAAAAATGGTATTTTAATGGGTAGTAAGGCAGACAGAGAAAGACAAATATCATATGGTATCACTTATACGTGGAATCTAAAAAAATGGTACAAATGAAGTTATTTACAAAACAGAAATAGAGTCACAGATGTAGAAAACAAACTTATGTTTACTGGGGGGAAAGCAGTGGGAGGGACAAATTAGGAGATTAGGATTGACATATACACATTACTATATATAAAATAGGTAACTAATAGGACCTATTTTATAGCACAGGGAACTCTACTCAATACTCTGTAATTACCTGTATGGGGAAAGAATCTTAAAAAGAGTGGATATATGTATAACAGATTCACTTTGCTGTACACTTGAAACTAATACAACATTGTAAATCAACCATACTCCAATAAAAACATTTTTAAAATGAGTAGTGAACGATGTGTCTCTCCCTAGAATATAAGCTCCTGGAGGGCAGGGGCCCTTGCCTATTTGCTCTCCATGCTGGATCCTCAGTGGCCAGAACAATGCCCAGCACACAGGAGACACTCAACACACATTTGTTAAATGAATGACTGTCCTTATTTTAAAAAAAAGTATAAGTGCACGTAACAACATGCTACTGTTTTGTTTCTTTTTTAAATTTCACATTATGGACTATTCCCCTTATTTTATTTCCTATTTACTTTTTGTTGGGCTTGTTGTTTGTCAGTCCAGGTTATAATTCTTTCCTGTATCTATTACACTTTTTAAGTGCATATTACAAAGCAGCAAAGAGAAACTGTTAAAAAGCAG